ATGCAAAATGAAAATGCATTCACCAACAAAAAGTTAGGTCAGTGGTCAATGGTCAATGGTCGTCAAAGTTCCACGTTCCTAGTACAAAGAGCACAAAAAAAAAAAAAAAACAACATTCATGATCACTACAAATAAACTTCAAAACAGTAGGTTTACTACTGTTGCTTAGGCTTAAAAAACAGAACAGTACTACCTTAGTCTACACAACTATTAATTATTAACTTCAAACAACCAAGTCCCTACTTATTCTAGGCCATTGTACTATTTTGATAATGTTAATTCACACAAATTTGTGAACATCATCATCTAGCTAGTGTTCCCTGATAATCTTTACCAGAGTATTGAAGTTCTCAGTAGAGCTACTATTGGGTTCCACAGTTTTGTGGACAAGTTCTTTGTGGATTTCAATTTTCTTTCTCATCTTCTTCCCTTCTTCGTCAAACAATATTGAATTCAAGGCCTTGAGTGTTCCTTCTTTAGTGAATACTCCACCCTCCACCGTCAAACCAATCCCCCAGACAGCCTCCACAGTCCGTGAATTCAATTGGTTGTCTGCGAAAAATGGCCTGCAGATTAAAGGCACCCCACCTAGAATGCTCTCCATGACGGATTTCCATCCACCATGCGTTACATGAACCCCAACTGAAGGATGCCCCAACACTTGACGCTGAGGAGTCCACGGCACTATCTTCCCCTTCTGCCTAGTCCTCTCCACAAATGTTCTCGGCAATTCTTGCTCAGGCTCACCCTTCAATGACCAGAGATATGGTAGCCCCATTTCCTCCATGGCTTCAGCTAATGCTACTAGTTCGTGAGGTGGAGGCTTTAGCGCTGTTCCAAAGCCGATGTACACTACCGATGCTGTTTGGTGCTTGTTCAACCATTCCAAGCAACCATGAGGATCAACAAATGAAGGTGGTTGAGATGTTAGAAATAAGGGACCCACTGGGAGATATTTTTGGATTCTCGACCTGAGCATGTTCACAATGGTGGTGTCTAATTCTTCGTAAGAATCTCCAACAATTGCAGTGGCTCGCGGTAGCTCTAGTCCCATCTTATGCAGCATTACTGTAACGGGATCATCCATGTCTTCAGAGGTTATTTCAGGCTGTAGGTCACAAGCGCGTATTGCAGAAAACTCCGGAAAAAGGTCCAATGTTTTTTCCTTAGAACCTGAAAACAAAAAATTAGTAAACATGCACACATTAATTAAGTTCAAAAAATGTTGAACAAGTATCATGAATGTTCAAAAAAAAAAAAATGTTGAACAAGTATCATGAATGTTCAAAAGAAAAAAAATGTTGAACAAAAACAATACTGTATTGAGCCTTAATTTCTTACCATAGCTCTTTATGTATTGTCGGATCTTGTCTGTTTCAAGGTGGAGGAAGAGCGAGCGTGGTCCAGCTATCCAAAGTGGAAGCCATGGTACCTGCAGTTCCTCGGCGAGATCGGCACCAAACCAGTAAAATGCATCCGTCACTAAACAATCGAAACCTTTCCCTGTTTCCTCCACAATCTTATCTATGGCGCTCTTAAAATTGCCAGGTAGAGCCTTCACGAAATACTTCGCAGCCTCATAAAAATTGCCTTTAAAAACATAGCCCTCCGGCAATCCGTTGCTGACGCTGTAGGGTCTTATTTTGCCATGCTCTTCGCTTTTCGAAAATACAGAGTCATTTGATTGTGCTGTGCTGAAAAAGAAAAAGGAAACATCGGGTGCGGCTTCGGATATGCGACGGATGAGGCTGAGGAGAGTGGCTGCGTGTGAGGTGAAGGGAAAGGCGAGCACAGCGACGTGCTTTGACGCAGCCATGGTTTTTGCTTTGATCGTCAATTAATGGTTGGTTTGGTATTGTCTTTGCTTCTCAAATTTCAAGCTTCGGTGCATAACAGGGTCTTTGTAACCTCCTACGTATTGAATGTGCACCTACCCGTTGCATATTCTAACTAACCACATAGGCTTTGTTCATAGATTAGATAGACTTTGGGAATACCTCATGTACGATGTGAAA